ACCTTTTGAATTTCTTCCATCGGAGCTTTCAATTTTCCGTTTCTAGATTAAGGTTTCGATCTCCGTTCCAGCGAATTGGCTTTACTCGAGCTGTAGTTCTACTGTTTCCGTGGTAGTTGGATCCGGTTTCGCGAGTTGGATCTGCCCGTGTGAGGCGGCGGACGACGACGGTGGATCTGAGGAATCGGTTCCACCATGACCGGAATGAGAGGTCTCTCCGTATTCATCAGCGACATACGTAATTGTCAGAACAAGGAAGCTGAGCGACTCCGAGTTGATAAGGAGCTCGGAAACGTCCGTACTTGCTTCAAGAATGAGAAGGTTAGGGAGCTTCTCTCACTTTCTCTGGACATGCCATTTTCTACATTTTTGCTTTTCTATATCTATTCTCATTTTTGAGTGGTAATTCAGTGTCCAAGTATTCAGTGAGTTTCTGTATTGATTAGAGATATTGGAGATGTCTCCTTTACAATCCATTGCTAGAGCTAATAGGTTGATAAGGGAGTTACAGTAGAATGTAGTTTGCAGTCACTAGGCGAATCTGTAATCGGAAAAAACCAGAGTTTTTAGAGTGGATAGTATTGGAGACTAAAGTTTTTTTTTTTCTTCTAGTAAAAAATTGTGTTCCTTGTTAGGCAGTATAATGTTTGCGTTATAGAGCTAGCTCATATGCTTGGAGATTAGGCCATTGTTTTACCCTCTGAAACATCACTACTGCTTTCTACTTGGAAGGTCATATATAAGGGTATTTCAAGTCGATAGATGAGACACAAGAAGTTACTATTTTTTCGCTTGAAGACACAAGAAGAATGTCTGAAGATATTAAGAAGGAACTAGAGGATAGAAAAGCCAGGCCAAATTTGGTTATGTAGTTATAGTCTAAGGAAATTCTATGTAGTGATAGTCTAAGAAAAGAAATAAAGGTCCCAGAAAGATTTGAATAGCTCATGATGTAGTAGTTTAAGCTGTGTTGCTGTAGTAAGTTTTTTGTGAAATTCTGATTCCATAGCAGAGCTGTAGCCGACCTGTAGTGTCCATCTGTGGCCAGTTATACCATTACTGAATCCGAGTTCTAGTTTAGAATTGAACTGATCATACATTCTTTGAATGGTTTTCCCAAATTTTCTTACGTTTGGACAGGTTTTGACTCCATATAAAAAGAAGAAATATGTCTGGAAAATGCTTTATATACATATGCTAGGTTACGACGTGGACTTTGGCCATATGGAGGCGGTTTCTCTTATATCTGCTCCAAAGTATCCAGAAAAGCAGGTAGGCCAAATTTTTGTTTGCTCAAGCAATTAAATATTGCTTTCTAAAGCTAGGAGAAGAGAAATAGGTGAGGGGTATTTGTTTAATTCAAGTTAAGTGCTCAAGCTGAAAGAAAGTAAATTTCAATGAAGATCATGGATAGCGAGATATAGATACTATTTCATGCGCTTGGGATTTTATTCAGTTTTGGACTTGGTAATGTAATGAGACATTTATGAAGTAACTCTTGACCAAGAGCTTGAAATGACACCATGTGTTCCAGAGGGTTTGCATTGCCTATTTTATATTTTTGTCACTCTCCTACCCAAGTTGCATATATTGAGCTTCTCACCCATTATTACAGGTTGGATACATTGTTACATCTTGCTTGCTCAATGAGAACCATGACTTTTTGAGGTTGGCAATAAATACAGTGCGGAACGATATAATTGGTCGGAATGAGACTTTCCAGTGCCTGGCATTGACTTTGGTATGTGCTCTTTTGTCCATCGTGTGTTGAGATCTTAGTGCATATTGAGGTCTTTCAGATTATGGGATGCAGTTAAGTAACTGTTTCAAAGGAAGTCTTTGGGTGCATTATGTCTTATTGCTCGACTAATGATTCAAAGCCTTTTACTTCGTAAAAACTGGTGCCTTTTTTCTAGCTCTCTTACTTTGCCATGTTTGCTTTGTCCTGTAGGTTGGAAATATTGGTGGAAGGGATTTTGCTGAGTCATTGGCTCCTGATGTTCAAAAGCTACTTGTAAGTGACCAAAAACGACAGTTTATGGGTATTTATCCACATTAGTATACATATTAACGTTATGGGACTTATTTGCTGTAGATTTCTAGTAGTTGCAGACCTCTCGTAAGGAAAAAAGCAGCGCTTTGCCTACTGCGCTTATTCAGAAAAAATCCTGATGCCATCAACGTTGATGGCTGGTGTGTATTAACACTCTTGGTAACTGGTTGTATGATTTTACTCATTCATCTTTCATAAACTCTCATTGTCGTATACTTCCAGGGCGGATCGTATGGCACAACTTTTGGATGAACGGGACCTTGGTGTCTTGACGTCTTCTACAAGTCTTCTTGTAGCTCTGGTATCTAATAATCATGAGGCGTATTCAAGTTGTCTACCTAAATGTGTCAAAATATTGGAACGCCTTGCTAGAAACCAGGACGT